GATCCAGGGGTCAAGCAGCAGCATTTAATTGACAAAGACAAGGAAAGCATGATTATGCAGTAGGCAGCAAAGTCTACGCAGTAATCTGAATATTCTAAGCTTCAAAGATCTTTGGCATTGGCTAATTGTGGTGTCCCTAGAGTTGAATGTGATGGGCAACATATAAGCAGAAAAAGCAATAGGTTTGGTGAAGAAAAGTTTGACTGGAGTCATCACAATGGAGAGCCATTGCCCCTCAACCAGTTCCCAGGTTTTAGACCTCCTTAAGGAAAGACCTGTTACACAGCCAAAAAATGTAAATACGATACATCTTCCTAGCTTTCCTGACCTGTGGCCATTCATTAGGGTGCCAGTGCACAAGGAGGGGAAACAATCACATCTGTGGGAGATTGTTAAATATTGGTTCTGAATTAATACTAATACCTGGAGAATGAGTCTGGTCTACCAGTCAAATGAGGAGTTTACAGAGGTCAGGTGGTCAATGGAGTTTTGCTGTGGGTCTGTTTTACAATTGGCCTAGTGGGTCCCTGAACCCACTGTGTGTTATTTCTTCAGTTCTGGAATGTGTCATTGGAATAGGCATACTCAGCAACTGATAGAATCCTCACAATGGTTCCCCGACTTGTGGAGTAAGGACTGTCATGGTAGGGAAAGCCAACAGTAATTCTAATTGCCTCTATCTACCAAAAGAGTAAACCAGAGCAATACTGCATTCCCAAAGGGATTGTACAGATTAGTGCCATCATCAAGGACTTTAAAGATTCTGGAGTGGTGATTTCGACCATATCCTCATTCAGTTTGCCTCTTTGGCCAGATGACTTGGAGAAAGGTACTGGATTTCTATAAACTTAATCAGGTGATCACTCTAATTGCAACTGCTGACCAGGTGTGGTTTCATTGCTAGAACAAATTAACACAAATTTGGGGTTGTGTCTATTAATCTGGTTGATTGCTTTTTTTTTTTTTTTTTGGTTGATTGATTTTTATATACCTCTTAGTAAAGACCATCAGAAGCAGCTTGCTTTCACCTGACAGAGCCAGCAGTATATTTGCACCATCCAGTCTCAGGGCTGTGTGAGCTTTCTAGCCTTATGCCATAATCTAGTCTGCAGAGACCTCGAACATCTCTCCATTCTGTAGGGCATCACTCTGCTTTGTCCGTTACATTGATCGGACGATCGGACCTGACTATCAAGGGGAAATTGGGTTGCTATTGTGCAGTGGTAGATAAGGAGGAGTGTGTGTAGAATGCATGTTATTTTCTGGAGCATTTCTTACTACTCCCATGTGTTATGACTAAAGACAATGGAAAACTACATCCAAATATAGGATTGCTAATGACCCGACTGTTTAGGAATGAAGGTTTGCGTCACCACACCAGCCAAATAACCACAAATAGCCAAGATGCTTGCTGAAGGCAAAAGGAGTATGAAAAGGCCAGTGGAAGAACACAGTTATAGTACTAGCCATTACCATCTGACCAGTTGCAGAAACAAAGACTGGGATAATTATGAATATTTCTTCCCTATTTTGATATGAACACATTTGTGTACACATTAACCAATTTTTGTTTTCTATTTACCACTTTCACTTACCTACCATCCAATGTAAGAAGTGTTAATAGTACTTAACATTGCATCTCAAGATGTCACAGGTTATTAAAAGGGAGTGTGACTCGGCTCAAAGACAAATCAACATCCTAATATGGATAAAGGGATTTTGTATCTTCTTTTGGGATAGAATTAGCACCCCTCATGTTATATGAGGGTTGATTTTGTCATTGTTTTTATCTGAAAGCTAAGTGTGTTAAAAGAGTTGCATGTGGATGACCCACACCTTTGTATTCCTAATTACTATATATGGATGTGAAGGTTGGGCAGTGAAGAAGGCTGATAGAAAAAAAATGTGTTTGTCTAACCCTGGCCAGTTTGGCTCAGCAGTTAGAGCGTCGGCCTGCGGTCCAGAGAGACCCAGGTTCGGTTCCCGCTAGGGGCATGTACCTTGGTTGCAGTTTGTCCCCGGCCCTGGTTGGGTTGTATGGGTGGCAGCCACTCGATGTGTCCCTTTCACGTGGATGTTTCTCGCTCTCTCTCTTCCTCTCTCTCCCTCCTGCCCTGTCTGAACAAAAAAATGGAAAAATGTCCTCGGGTGAGATTAAAAAAAAATGTATTTGTCTAAAATATGGTGTTGAAGCAGAGCTCTACAGGTAGCCTGGGCTCCCAGAAAGACGAACAAGTGGGTCCTTGAGGAAATTGAGCCTGAAATGCTGTTAGAGGCAAAAATGACAAAATTGAAGTTTTCCTATTTCAGGCACATCACTAGAAGGCAGAAATAAATAGAAGCAGCAGGAAAAGAGGAAGACCACATATGAGATGGATTGACTCTATAAAAGAAGCCATAGGCATGAGTCTAGAGGAGCTGAATAGGGCTGCTGAGGACAGGACATTGTGGACGTCACTCATTCATAGTGTCACCAGGAGTCGCAGCCGGCCCAGTGGCATGTAACATACACATATAGATGCCAGATTGATAAGACGTGGACATCAATGGATTTGTAGTGTGTCAATTTAGCTAAACTAACTACATTTTCCAGAATTCCTTTCCTTTTATTCCGAGTTACTGCCCAAAAGACATTTTACAGGAGACTCCGAAGGCAAAGTGGAACAGCCAAATTCTTTTTCTGCTTGGAAGGCACTGCAGTAGCACGTTTTTGCTTATCTTGTCGGACTGGGTAGCAATCAGGAGTATAGCTCCTGCTGCTCCTGCTGAGTTTCCTCCTTCACCCTCTCTGACTCCTTGGCCAGGTCCATGTTTTAGTTCCAGGGCAGCGGCTTTTTCTCTGTCACTGCCATCATCAACTTTGGGGGTTTTCGATATGGTGAGAAGTCCACAAGGTTCCAGTCTGTCGGGTAAATGGGAACATGGGCCCCTTCCCATGCTCCAACTCCCCCTCCCACCCTGTGGGAAGATGATGAAAGCCGTCAGTAAGCAGGCTGTGAGACCTTGGGATCCTTCCCAGCTCCTCAGTTAAGAAAACAGCTAGTGTTTTGATTTCATATACGCCTCCCTCCTCCTGCATGCCTTGTTTTTATCTGTTTTCCGTACTCTTTAAAACTTTGTGTTGGGAAAGTCTGAGTGGCAGCGCAACAATAGCACCGGCCAGCTTCCCTGGTGCAGTCCGGCCACAGGCTGGATGGGACGTAGTGGTTCAACTTCACCTGCGGCAGCCGGTGCCGTGGTCAGCTGCCACCAGTGTGCATCAAGTCCTGCTACACCCCTGTCTGTCACAGCCAGTCCTCAGGGTTATTTCTTTGGAGTCCATGAACAGTAGGCTGAGGTCCATCCTGTATGTTCAGCTCATCCTTTCAGGTTCCAGGTTTTCTTGCTTCTGCCACCTTACAGCTGTCTATTTTTTCTGTTTGCCCTGCCCACGTCAGGCCTCAGCTCCTGATGTATATACAAGAGCTTCACAATTACATTAAGTCCAAATACCTATAATAAGTCTCTTATTATATATTACTACTAGTAGTTCTGCTTTTCTCAACAGACACTGATTCGCCTACACACCACGCTTTTGAGTTCTACTAACATGCCATGATTCCCTGCCTCTACTTTTTCCTCTGCCTAGAATCCTGATCTCCTCTGCCTAGTTAATCCCTCCACATCATTGGCTCATTATACAGTTTACATCCATAGAGAAGCCTCCTGGATTCTCAGTGCCAGTTAAATACCCCTCCTTTGCTTGGCCGGGTGGCTCACTGGTTGAGCATCGACCCATGCACCAAGAGGTCGCTGGTTCTACCCCAGTTGGGGCACGTGCCCAGGTTGTGGGCCTGATCCCCAGTGGGGGGCATGCAGGAGGCAGCCAATTGATGTTTCTCTCTCACATCTATGTTTCTATCTCTCCCTTTCTCTCTAAAAAGATCAGTAAAAACATATTTAAAGAATATAATTATCATTTGACTCCTTGTGTGCAAGCCCCACACCAATCTCCATAGTGCTAGACTTAGGCTGAGTCGACTCTGTACAGTGTGGAGGGGAGCTAAGAGCACTGTGACTTGTTCTCATTAATACAGACCAAAAAACGTTAGATACTCTAGGTCCCTACATGGACTTCTTGTTAGAACTACATGATTTAGCTGTTGATATAACCTGAATTAACCAGATAATTTTACACCTGTTCTCTGGATTTGACTGTGTAAGTAGTGTTTAGTTTATAGACTAATAAAAAATATTTCCTATTGCTCGAACTTGGACTAAAAGGAGAACAAGGATATTGAGACTTGTGGACTTTAAACATGTTTTCTTCCTCGTTAAACTACTTTAATAATGACATTTGCTGTTCAAATAGGCCGGGAACTATGCTGTTCTTACCTGAGCAATACAGGCTGGGATGTAGACCTCCTGCTCTCAGCTGTTACATAGGGTACAAACTGTTCATTGTCCTTTCCTTAATGAGGCTGACAGAGCCCATAAATAACCTAGTTCTCCTCTGGGCTCTTTTTAAATTGATGTATAATTGCCATACAACATTATATTCATTTCAGGTGTACAACATAATGATTTGATATTTGTATATATTGTGAAATGATTGCTACAATAAGTCTACTTAACAGCTGTCACCATATATAGTTAGAGACCTTTTCTCCTTGTGAGAACTTTTAAGATCTACTCTCTTAGCAACTTTCAAATATTCAATACAATATTGTTAACTGTAGTTGCCAAGCTGTACATTCCATTCCATCACTCATTTATTTTATAACTGAAAGTGTATACCTTCTGCCTACTACGTTTTTTTTTTTTTCAGTGCTTAAAATTTTAAGAAATCAAGCCTATAACAAGGCAACACCCTCAACCAAGTGAAAAACACTGTTTTTCTTATCAGTCCTCCACCATTATATTATCCTGACCCAATAGTTATCTTCTAATATGAATCAATAAAAATTTAAAAAATTACTCTCAAAGACAGATGAACACAAGATACAAATTAAACAGGTTACCTAGAGTCACAGCTCCGACAACAAATCCTTGGGCAGCAACTCTCATGTGAATAAGGTGAATGGACATTTTCTGATCTCTTCTGTACTTTAACTTGTAAAGACCATAGGACACCACAGTCATAAAGCCTGCTATCCCTGTGAATTAAAAAGGGAGGGGTTATATAAATAGCAGGCTAGAGTTGCCATAAGCTTAGAGAGTGAACAAAGGGCTATCCAAAAGATTAGTACTTGGCAGATGAGCAGGTAAGATACCAAAGAATACTTTAAAAGGAACCATGCTGGATTTGATTCATCAGATTTTTTTTTTTATCCTCACCCTAGGACATTTTTCCATACTTTGTTCAGACAGAGTGGTAGGGGGAGAGAGAGAGAGAGAGAGAAACACTGACGTGAAAGGGACACATCAAGTGGTTGCCACCCGCACGACCCAACCAGGGCCGGGGACAAACTGCAACCGAGGTATGTGCCCTTAGCGGGAACCGAACCTGGGTTCTCTCTGGACCACAGGCCTATGCTCTAACCGCTGAGCCAAACCGGCCAGGGCTGATTCATCAGATTTAAAAATGAACACATATCCCTGGCCGGTTTGGTTCAGCGGTTAGAGCGTTGGCCTGCGGTCCTGAGAGACCCGGGTTCAGTTCCCGCTAAGGGCGCATGCCTTGGTTGCAGTTTGTCCCCGGCCCTGGTTGGTTATGCGGGTGGCAGCCACTCGATGTGTCCCTTTCACATCGATGTTTCTCTCTCTCTCTCTTCCTCTCTCTCCCTCCCACTCTACCTGAACAAAAAATGGAAAAATGTCCTCAGGTGAGGATAAAAATAAATAAATAAATAAAATAAAATGAACACATAACATTCATGGAGTTAAGATTTTCAGTTTAGCCTTTCCCCCAGAAAATCCTGAACCATATAGTGCAGTAATTTGCTTAGTAATCTTTAGTAACCTTAGTAGTCTCTAGTTTTCCTGAGGCATGATTTCAAAGTGTGCATGCTGCAAGGCTTTTACTTGGGCAAGTCACTTAGGAAGTAAACCTGCCAAACATCCCATAGTTTTTGAGTGTTTGGCTTTGCTCCTTTCTACTTGTTAGCAAATAAGAGGTAAATCAAGTAAAGTGATAAAAACTTGAATCTTCTGCCCTGGCCAGAGTGGCTCAGTTGGTTGGGCATTGTCCCGTGCACCAAAAAGGTCACAGGTTTGATTCTCTGTTAGGGCATATGCCCAGGTTTCAGGCTTCCTCCCCAGTAGGGGGCGTGCAGGAAACAGCCAATCACACAGATGTTTTCTCCCTCCCTTCTCTAAAATGTAATAAAAAATACATTTAAAAAAACCTGGAATCCTCATCCTGGCCAGTTTGGCTCAGCAGCTAGATCGTCGGCCTGTGGTCCAGAGAGACCCTGATTCGGTTCCGCTAAGGACAGTACCTCGGTAGCAGTTTGTCCCCGGCCCTGGTTGGGTTGTATGGGTGGCAACCACTCAATGTGTCCCTTTCATGTCGATGTTTCTCTCTCTCTCTCTCTCTCTCTCTCTCTCTCTCTCTCTCTCTCTCTCTCCCCCTCTCTCTCCCTCCCACTCTATCTGAACAAAAAATAGAAAAATGTCCTTAGGTAAGGATTAAAAAAACAAAAACAAACCTGGAATCCTCTACAAAAATGAGACATTAAGCCCTGGCTGGTTTGGCTTAGCGGTTAGAGTGTCGGCCTGTGGTCCAGAGAGACCCGGGTTTGGTTCTTGCTAGGGGTACGTACCTCGGTTGCAGTTTGTCCCTGGCCCTGGTTGGTCATACGGGTGGCAGACATTCGATGTGTCCCTTTCACATAGATGTTTCTCTCTCTCTCTCCCTCCCACTCTATCTGAACAAAAAATAGAAAAAAATGTCCTTGGGTGAGGATAAAAAAAAAAAAGAGAGACATTAAGCTTAATGAGAGATGCACAGTAAGTATGTGATTCCAGGAAGAACTGTGCTTCTAGAAAACTCCAGAAACCCATACAAATATTTTTGTATTCCCTACAAATGTTAAGGGTGAAAATACTGTTATGACAACCAAAATCCTATGTAATTGGCTCTAAACAGAAAACTGGTGAACTGAATAGGAAAGACTCTGGAAAGATATTTAAAACACTGTGATAAACTAATCCACAACAAATCAAAATAGCATAAAGGAATAATTATTTAATAAATATTATGAGTACAATTTATTGCTATAGAGAACTAATTTGGATTTCTATCTCACACTAGATCCTACAAAAAATTTCTGGATGGGTGAGAATTAAATGTAAAAACAAAAATATCAACAACAAAAAATAGAATAGCTTATTTATAATATCTAAAAGAGGGTAAGGTAGGCTTAAAATGACAAGGACAGATACTATATTTTCACATAAGAATAAAGAAAACTTGCAGAATAAAAGAGTGGGTCTATATTTTGGCTTCTCTCCTTTATCCTGTTGATCTGTGTGTTTATCCCTCCATCTAAACCGCACCATCTCAATTACTATAGCTATAGAGTAAGCCTTAATATTATTTTAACCATTCTAGGACTTATGCCTTTCCATATAAATTTTAGAATACTGTAAGTTTGTCTGTGTCTACAAAAAACCTTGCTGGGATTTTGATGGGAATTGCACTAAACCTATAGATCAGTTTAGGGAGAGTTGACATCTTTTCTCCAATCCACAAACACAATAGTCTCTACATTTATTTAGGTGTTCTTTAATTTCTTTCATTAGCATTTTGTATTTTTCAGCATGCAGATTCGGTACGTTTTCTTTTTAAATTTTGTTTTCTTTATTGATTTTAGAGAGAGAGAAAAAAACATAATGTGAGAGAGAACATCGATTGGCCACCTCCTGCATGCCTCCCACTGGGGATTTGGCCCACAACCTGGGCATGTGCCCTGACCAGGAATCGAACAAGTGACCTCTTGGTGCATGGGTCAGTGCTCAACCACTGAGCCATACCAGCTGGGCTGTAAATGTTTTCTTAAGCTGATACCTAAGCAATTTTATTTAGAGTGATTGTAAATGGTATTATGGGTTTTTTTTTAAACATTGCTCAAATATTCCCAAGTGGCCTTTATTTCACAACATTATTTCTAATACCACTTTTACTATATGATACTATTTAAATAAAATTTGGTAAATTTACAAGTTATGTGCTTTAAAAGTAATTTCTTCTACTCTGAGGAAGGGTATTATGGGTTTTTTGTTGTTGTTTGTTTTTGTTAATCCTCACCTGAGGATATTTTTCCATTGATTTTTACAGAGTGGAGGGGAGGGAGGGAGAAAGAGAAACATTGATGTGTGAGAGACACATCGATTGGTTGCCTCCCATACAACCCCAACTGAGGCCGGGGATTGAACCTGCAACCCAGGTACAGTGCCCTTGACTGGGAATCAAACCCAAGATCCTTCAGTCCTCGGGCTGACGCTCTAACTGCTGAGCCAAACTGGCCAGGGCAGGGTATTATGTTTTTAATTTCAGTCTCCATGTGTTTGTTGTTAGTACATAGAAATGCAGTTATTATTTATATAGGATAGCAAGTTTTGATTAACCATGTTGGCCCATGTGTGTCTCTATAGGTGAGCGAGGTTATATTTATTCTTTTAGGATCCACTTAAGTGGAAATAACAATCATAGTAAATAAAAACATGTATATTTTATAGGCTTATTAGCCATAAATGAAATTGAAATAAAAATAAAAAAATATATAAAAACAATAAAATGTTGATGATACACAGGTACAATGCTGAAAGCTCCGTAAGTTTAGCTAAATCTTTTTGGAAAGACCTCTGGAAATAGATCATAAGTGATACTAAACTGAACATGCTTCCTGCCCTGGAAATTGTACCTTTGGGAACTTCCTCCAAGGAAATAAGCAAAAGAAATTTAAGAAGTTGACACAAAGATGTTTATGGCTACACTATGTATGAGGAAAAACTAAACAACCCAAATGACCCAAACAGAGGAAAATGTCATAGCTATAAAAAAAAAAAAAAAAAAAAGTATATTTCTACACAGAAATATACATATGAAATGTTAAGTGAAAGAAGCAAAACAACCTATCAACACAGAGTTTAAATATTTAATAATGTTTGTACAGGTCTTATTGCTCATAGGACACTTCTAAACAATATACATAGATTGTAATGACAGAGGTTGTTGAAGATAACAAAAAAAAATGTTTTGTAAATTATCTGCACTGGTTACTTCATCCTAGAGCAGGAAATACATAGATGTTATTAAAATTACAATAGCTAAACAAACTATTCAATAATATATATCCAAATTTTATCATTATTTATATTTCTATAAAAAGCTTGGTTCTCTTCCCTTATCAAATCAAGGTTCTGTTCTTACTTAAATTGGTTTTGTTTCTTTTAAAGATTAAAGTCAGAACCTTTACTGTTTTCCATACAGCGTCTCTGTAGTTTGTATATAATTGAATTTAGCTGAAAACACTTTAATCTTTCTACTTTAATCACCCTAAATGTCTCTGGAAAATAATTTAATTTGCAGCAGGCACAGTGATTAATCTCTGTTCATTACAGTGATCTGTGCAAGTGGCACTGACTTCTTGAATTGTTTTTCTAGTTAAAAATGCTAAGGAAGGTGAATAAATCACTATAAAATTATTTGCTTAATTTGTTGTAGGAGCTATTACAAGTCTTAAATGAAACTTATTATAAAGTAAAATTTTGATTATTGTTTATATGTGAATAATGACACATGAAGTTGCTAGATTTACAGTGATAATGGAAATATATGACATACCTATTTAATAGAGGTTTTATGGAATTAATCACAAACTTATGTAAGTCTGATTTAAATAGGTTATTTTAATAGTTTCTAGCCAAAATTAATATAAGGAAAGAGGCATGGCCACCGTATACAATAATAACACTTAAGGCAGGAGAAGCATACAAAAGAGAAGAAAGAGAAAGCTTAAATTTTAAAAACAATATTGGTGTTTAGATTTTTGTTTGATTGTTTTTAATCTTCACCAGAGGATATTTTTCTCTTTATCTTCAGATAGAGAGGGAGAGAGAGAAACATCGATGTGAGAGGGACACATTGACTGGTTGCCTTCCTGATGACCCCGACCAGGGCCAGGGAAGAACCGCAACCAAGGTACATGCCCTTGGCCAGAATTGAACCCAGGACTCATTGGTCCATGGGCTGAGGCTCTAACCCGTGAGCCAAACTGGCCAGGGCATTTTGTTTGTTTTTTGTTAATCCTCACCTGAGGATATTTTTCCATTGATTTTCAGATAGAGAGGGAGGGAGGGGGGAGAGGGAAGAGGGATGGAGAGGGGTGAGAGGGGGTGAGGGGAGAGGGAGGAAAGGGAAACATCCATGTAAGAAACACATTGATTGGTTGCCTCACCCACGACCCCCACCAGGGCTGAGGATTAAACCTGCAACCCAGGTACATGCCCTTAACTGGGTATCAGACCTGAGACCCTTCAGTCTGAGGGCTGATGCTCTAACCACTGAGCAACCTGTCAGCGTGGTGCTTAGATTTTGTGTGTGTGTGTGTGTATTTTAAAAAGCCCACATAGCCCAGCCAGTGTGGCTCAGTGTATTGAATTTCTTCCCATGGACTGAGAGGTCCCGGTTCAATTCCTGGTCACGGTACATGCCCAGGTGGTGGGCTCAATCTCCAGTGGGCAGGAGGCATCAATCTGCTGATTGATGGTTCTATTTTTTTCCCTTCCTCTCTCTACCAAAAAAAAAAAAAATCAATAAAAACATTAAAAAAATAATAATAAAAATAGTAAAATAAAAAAGCCGACATATATCTAGTATTTGTTAAAATACTAACAATACTAATGTAAACATACTAAGTATATGTTGGGAAAGGATAAATAGGCTTGGACTCCAGGTCTAATTAGATTACTTAACCTTCAACCTCAACATGTGAACAGATCAGGAAGCAAGGAAAAAGGGCCACTGAGCATGAACACCACAAAGTTCATGTGCTCAGGTGTACAGGTAGGCCCAGGCTTTCATTCAGAGCTTCTTCACTCTGAAGCGACTCATAGTTCTTTTAAGCTGGGTATGTAGCTTCTAGTGCCAGAGAACATCAGAAGAAGTTTTTGATGGTATCCAACAATATGGAAGAAACAGAAAAATCTGTAAACATCAGACACAAGCACTTAAAGGTTGGAATTACTTAGAAGACAAAGAGACATATTCATCACCATAGTCCCAACAGACGTTCAGTCCGCTGTCCCAGAGCCATCACAGAAAAGTTCAAGTGCATTCTATCAATTCCATTTAGATTGGTTGGGAACTAATAATTGTACTAAGACCTCTAATGAAGATGGATCAAATAGAATAAAACCTGATGCACCATAATAATAATAGCTAAGAGTTACTGGAGATTTACCATATACTAGAAACTATTCTGAAAGTTTAACTCATGCTTCGGGGGGGGGGGGGTAGTTTCAATTATCTGAATAAACTCAATTACATAAAACATTTCAATCCTCAAAGATACTGGGCAAAGCATTATTGTACTATTACAAACAGTTTTCCAGTATCCAGTCAAGGCTTGTACTTACCTACAGGCACAAAGGGGGAATCTCTAGATTTCCTGATCAGTCGGGATAATTGACCTTCATCCTCATCTGCTGACCACTGGTTATCTGAAGACATCTTTCTCTCTAATAACAGTAAGGGATAAATGAGATTGCTGTGAATCATTAAAAAGAATCCGTTTACCCTCTCCCAATATACTTTTGATTATGTGCTCTGTCTTCATTCGTTTGACATGCAGTCTGCTCTCTTGAAATAAACAGACATCTTTCCCTCATCCTTTTCATTATGGGATCTTTTCATTTTGTTTGGAGAGGGTAAAAGAAAAATATATAGAGAGGTAATCATAATCAGATTTCATGAATACAGAGTGAAACATAATCATGTTTTTCAGTCACTTTTCACTACTTAGCATTTGAAATCATTAGGAACCTCAGAATGTCTTCCACAAACAGTAAGAACACAGAGTTTCTTTTACAAAATATCATTTTAAAGAATGAAGGCTGTGCCAACATAGGCAAAAATATATTCAGGTTTACAGGGGATGGGAGAATGAGCACTCCAATTCTGTCGAATGTGCAGGCATTATAAAGTCATCAATATTTACCAAACACCTAGCATCTGCCAGGTACTACCCTAGACAATGGAAATAATCTTCCTTGTCTACACAGGATGAATGAGGAAACTTGAAAGAGTAACTATAATCATTATTAACATGGTTTAACAGCACCTCAGTCTCTTATCCATGCAACTTACAATTTTTCACCTCAAAATTTCAAATAGATGGCTTCATCCTACAATCAGCTTTCATCAGGAAATGTAACCCAGTAAGTGGCAGAAGCACAATACCTTTGGCGTACCCCAGCACCTGCTGTCTGTCTCCCGGTGTTCCTTAAGCAGAGACCAGTAGATCAGAACAGGCTTTGTAAGGCTGGGACACATTTCGCTAAATTTCCAGCTAATTGATAGATAATTGGTAAGCCCATAAACACCCCTCCCCCCAAGGGGAGTGGCGGACTGGTATTGGCCAAGGTTTTCACAATCCACACTGGAAACAGCAGCACCTGCAGCACAAACATGAGGCGTTGGAAGACAACATTAAGGAAACATTAAGGCTTTTGGAGATGCCACTACTTAATTCTGTCTTCACAAGGGAGCTCCCCACTTCCCTCTGTGACTGTGAGTGCTATAACCCAGCTCCAGGGCCCCAAATCAAGAGGAGAGGGGGCGCAGGGTGATTACACTGGGTTTGTGGGTAAGGGCGGGGTTAGCCATCTGAGGGCTACAATTCTGGTCTTTTAGGAATATGCGCTTGCCAGAGGGGCAGCCCACTGTGGCTGGGATCCCGGGCTGAGGAGACCCAAGCTTGTGAAAAGGGATCTGGTGGCAAGGCCCTCACACCTGCAGCCCTTACAGAGCCTCAGGCTGCACGTGCGCCCCACCAGGAAGGATGTGATGTTACTGCGCCTGCGACCAATCGAGGGCAGGGCGCACGGGCGGCCAGGTGCTGAGTGAGCCTGCAGTCCTGCCCCTGCGCCTGCGCGGGGAGGCGGCCTGCTGTGGCCCCAGGGGCCGGTGGCAGGTGGTCGCTGCCTCCCTTCCGCCGCGACTGCGTGCATTTGGGCACCTGAGGCCTCGAAGTCCTGGCTCACTGCCTCCTTCCAGCTGCAGCCACAACGACCGCAGTGTGAGGGCAGAGGACCAGGTAGTGTTGGCGTTTCAATTTTTAAAGAAATTTAGACTTACAGAAAAGTTTCCAGAACAGTACAAAGAACTGAATGTCCCGCACCCAGATTCTCCTTGGTTAACATTTAGTCACATTTGCTTCATTATTTTTCTCTAGATGGGATTCCTTCCTTTCGTCCAGTTATTTTGTAGAATGTCTCTCAATGTAGAATATTTCTAATGCTTTCTCATCATTAGAATGAGATTGTGCATTTGGGGCAGAATACCACAAAGGTGATGTTGTGTCCTTGGTGTATAATATCACGAAGCACATAAAATTAGCTTGTTTCGTGGTAGTAACTTTGCTCCAGTATTATGCTTAGAAATGACTAACAATTAGTTCTCCAGGGGTAAAAAGCGTTAATTTGTAACACTTGCGGATGTCCGTGGTGTAGATACTCCCGTCATGTTCAGGTCATCCCTGAGCACAAAATTGGAAAGGGTTGGTTGGTCCTCTGTTGAGTTGGTGTGAGTCAACTCTAACACACCACTGCTTTGGTCATTTGGATTAAGGTGGTGTGTGCAAATTTTTAGTAAAGTTACTATTTTCCCCCTTGTAGTTACTAAGTCTTTTGTGAGGAGATACTTTAATATTATACAAATGTCCTGTTATTTATCAGACTTTTACCCATTAAGTTCAGCATCCATTGATGATCCTTGTCTGAATCAATTAATATTATGTTTGCCCCGGCCGGTTTGGTTCAGTGGTTAGAGTGTTGGCCTGTGGATTAAAGGGTCTCGGGTTTGATTCCGGTCAAAGGCACGTACCTGGGTTGCAGTGCAGATTCAGTCCCAGATCCCAGTTGTGCTCATGTTGGAGGCAACCAATTGATGTCTCTCCTCCTCTCTCTCCCTCACTGTTCCTCTTTCTCTTCCTCTTTCCCCCCCTTCCACTCTTATCTAAACATCAATGGAAAAATATCCTCAAGTAAGGATAAAAAAATTAATATTATGTTTGTTAAATGGTAATTTTCTAAAGCAATAATTTCTTTAGTATTTTTTCAGTTGGCATTCTGCAAGGAGTTGCTTTCCCTTGTTTTCTATTTATTTACATCTGTTTGGACTCATGCACTTCTGTTTTATTTGGTAGTTTATTCTTTACTGTAGTTATTTATTTATTTATTTTATTTTTTTATCCCGAGGACACTTTTGCATTTATCTTCAGATAGAGCAGGAAGGAGAGAAGGGGGGTAGAGAGAGAGAGAAACATTGACGTGAGAGAGACACATTGACTGGCTGCCACCCACACGACCCCAACCGGGGCCGGGGACAAACTGCAACCAAGGTATGTACCCTTAGCGGGAACCAAACCCAGGACTCTCCGGTCTGCGGGCCGATGCTCCAACCATTGTGCCCAAACTGGCCGGTGCTGTAGTTATTTATTTTGATGGTCAAGCTGTCCCACGTTTGGCTAGTGTAAGTGCCTTCACGCTGGCTCTTATGTCCTATTGGCATGACCCCATCATTCTTCAAACACTTCTTTATATCCTGGCTTAATATGTTGTTGCAGGCTGAACTTGTACTTTTTCTCCCCCAGCCCTGAAACCAGCTATTTCTTCAAGGAGTCCTGATTCATTTTAGGGTAGAATGGTATTTAGAAACCACATTCTGGGCACTAGTGGTGCTCATTGTTACTGGTGTATCTTTACTTGTAGGCCCACTCAGCAGACAGAGTTAGAGTTTATATCTTTATCTTTATTCTATTCCTAAAATCTGTCTGTATTAAAACCATGAGTTCATAATAATATCTCTAATTTCAATCCAACTCCATAGAGTTCATTCTAATCTCCTTTTCATATTTGTGATTCCTTTTTCTGACTGGGAGAGACCTGGCTCCCACTGTCCTCAGTATATTTAATGTACAGTCATGTGTTGCAGAATAACATTTGGGTCAATGACAGACTGCATACATGATGGTGGTTCCATAAGATTATAATGGAGCTGAAAAATTTGTATCACCTGGTGACATCATAGATGTCCTAAGGTCATAGTGCAATGCATTACTCACATGTCTGTGGTGATGCTGGTGTAAAAAAAAAACACCTGCGTTGTCAGTCATATGAAAGTGTAGCTCATACAATTATGTACAGTACAGAATATTTGATAATAATAAATAACTTTGTTACTGGTTTATGTATTGTACTATACTTTTATCCTTATTTTATTTTTTAATTTTTATTTTTTGGGATAAACACCTTTATTACATGAGCTAAGACAGGAGGGAAGAGAACTTATTTGCCTTTCCGGGCCTTGATTTTTCTCAGATAGGACTGCAGCTCCTTGCCCCCTAGCACATAGCCATCTGCTTGGCCACAGTGGCCTGGTCTGGAAGCGATGCATGCAAGAAGCTTGCCCTGCTGTTCCTCAAGAAGACTGCTGATTTTGGCATTCTTTTTCCCCTCATCATATTTCTTCTGAATTTTCTATCATTTTTTGTTTAAAATCTCTTCCTTCCCAGGAGTCAGCTTAGCCCCCTTTTTGCGGTCCAGGGGCAGTGCATAGGGGACTTGTACGCTGTCGGTGCGGTGTGCTGTCAACAAGCACGAGGCAGTTCTTTACGAGGGCCTTGGTGCGGACCAGTTCATTGTTGGATGCATTGTAGACAACATCAGTAATCCTTGTTTTTCACAAATAACACTCTGAGCCCCAGGAGAAGTTGCTCACCTCCAGCCTCAAGGCTCCATACTTCTTGTTGCCTCCCTGCACGCGGACCGTGAGTATGTGGCAGGGTCCAATCTTAGTGTTGGCAGCAGGGTGTCCCAGCTCATATTTTCACTTCTTGAGGTAGGGCTTCCTCTTGCCACCAGTCTTACGGCGCTTGTGCCAGTAGTCCTGAGAGATGCCCATGGCTTGGCACCAGCTGGAAAGAGAAAACGCAAAGGTATCCTTATTTTAGAGTCTTCCTACTTACAAAAGAAGTTTTACACAGGTGGCAGCCTCACACATTTCATGTTTACTGTGTCTTTTGATGGCATCATTTTCTCTTGTGCTTGATTTAATCTTGTGTTGTTTTGTACAGCAATGTGCTATACGGGCTTATAGCCTAGGAGCACTGGGCTATACCATCTAGGTTTGTGTGAGTGCACTTTAGGATCTCACAACAACGAAATCACCTAACAAGGCATTTCTCAGAACCTAACCTGTATCTCTGTTGTTAAGTGGCACATGACTGTATTCGTTGTTTCTCTCTCTCATTTACTCTCTCTCTAAATAAATCAATAAATTTAAAAAAGTAAATAAAACATATGTCTACACAAATGTTTGTGGTATCATTATTCACAATAGCCAATAAGTGGAAACAACCCAAACATTCATCATTTGACTGATGAATGGAGGAATAAATGTGATATATCCATACAATGGAATATTATTTGGTCATAAAAAGAAATTAAGTACTGCCCTGGCCGGTTTGGCTCAGCAGTCGGAGCTTCGGCCTACGGACCAGAGAGTCCCGGGTTCGGTTCCCACTAGGAGCACATATCAAAAAAAAAAAAGAAAAGAAAAGAAATGAAGTACTAATACATGCTACACCATAGATGAATGTTGAAAAACATGCTAAGTGAAAGAATCCTGTCACAAAAGAACACACATTGTGTGATTTCATTTACATGAAATGTCCGGAATAGGCAATTCCATAGAAACAGAAAGTAGATTTGTGTTTGCCTCGGGCTCCCAGGCAGTGGCGGGAAAAACAGGGAGTGATTACTAATGGGTACACTGTCTTTTAAGGGCAGGTGATAAAAAATGTACTAAAAATAGATTGTGGTGCCTGGCTGAAGTGGCTCAGTTGGTTGAGTGTTGTACTGTGCACCAAAACGATGCCCATTCAATTCCTGATCAGGGCACATACCTGGGTTTTGGGTTTGATCCCCAGTCGGGGCATGTATGGAAGGCAACCAATTGATGTTTGTCTCTCATCTCTGTCTCTCTCTCCCCTTATGCCCCTCTCTCTCTCCCTTCCATCTCCCCCTCCCTCCCTCCCTCTTCCTCTCCTTTCTCTAAGCATGCTCTCAGGTGAGGATTAAAAAAGAAACACACACACACAAATAGATTGTGGCGATGGCTATAAAACTCTGAATATACTAAAAACTACTAAATTGTGTACTTCAGGTAAATTTTATGATATGTGAATTATATCTCAATAAAGCTGTTTGGGGAAAAAAGCTACTTGGGT